TTTGAAGAAGGACGCTCAAACAGGTTTGGACGTGAGTAAATAATTACAATTTTCTCTCTTTGTTGTTGTTGAAATGTCTCAGTGTCTTTTGTGAGTGTTTGAAATTACATATATTTTAATTAATTACACATTTCGATTCTAAATGTAGCCTTTTTAATTACACAGACGCCATTTTTGATTCGTTTCATCAATCGCGCGCTTTTTTCCATTGCTGTTGCTAACGCTGTTTTGCCTGTTTGGGTTGTTTGACATCAAGTTGAAGACAAACTTCATCATCAAAGTGAGATGTACGGGAATTTATGTTTGTTTGCTTTGTCTTTATGAAGCTGTGTATTTAAAGTCAGCCCTTTATTCATATTTACAGGTATAAATACTGAAATGAACGTCTTCTTTTAACGCGTTTCCGAGGGTATCACCTTGTCTTAAGGGCAACCACATGGTTTACACCTGTGCCAATAATAACATCGTTAGCAAATCATCAAAATTAACCAATAACACCTTAGATCCGAAGGTTAATGAGGAGCAAGTAAATTAAAAACCCGGTCAGTTCAGTCAAGAAAGGTAATCAGTTTATTAATGAAGGATTATGAAGCCCTGGCAAACTCTAATAATGGTCTAGCAGTACATGTGTATGTCCTGAATGGCTGAATGAACTCCTGACCTGAATGTAAATCTGTGACAGGATCTGAAGAAAACTTTAAGGTTAAATATATTTCAAAATTGGGTGGAGAATGAAGAGCAGAAAATCCCTGAAGCAACATGTCAAACTCACAAAGAGACCACAGCGTTTATTAGGTAAGTACCATACATTTATTTACATCTCATCTAAGCTTTAAAAAAATTCAACAGCTAAACGATTACCATATAGGTATGTGGACTACATTGATATTAATCAGAAATAATTTTTACAGCATTTATAAATCAAATATGATTTCGTATGATTACTTTTTCTTTAAAATATTTAATAAATACATAAATATAACTAAGACATAATGTAATACTTAATATAGTCTATAAATTTAGTAATTTCTTTTTTTAGTTCAAGTGCTAATTAAAACCTAATAAAATCTATACAAGTAAAAAACGTAACTTTAGCTCAAATTAAACCAATGTATATATCAAAATATATAATAGTATATCAGTGATGCTGAAAGCACTACCTTGACCGTAAAAAACAAACCGTATAAATACTTAATAATTGAAAAGGTTTCCAAAATGTGAACAGAGCAGAAATATTACATAAATTATTACTGCAATATTCATATATATATATAAATACCCCCCCCCCCCCCCTTCAATTTTTTATTTATTTTTTTATTCCTAAATGATTTTTAACAGAGCAAGGATATGTTCACAGTATGTCTGATAATATTTTTTCTTCTGGAGAAAGTCTTAATTTTTTTATTTCGGCTAAAATAAATGCAGTTTTTAATTAAAAAAAAAAAACACATTTTAGGGACAAAATTTTTAGCCCCTTTTAAGCTCTTTTTTTTTTTTTGATAGTCTACAGAACAAACCATTCTTATATAAGAACTTGCCTAATTACCCTAACTTGCCTAGTTAACCTAATTAACCCAGTTAAGCCTTCAAATGTAACTTTAAGCTGTATAGAAGTGTCTTGAAAAACATTATTTGTCATCATGGCAAAGATAAAATAAATCAATTATTAGAGATGAGTTTCTAAAACTATTATGTTTAGAAATGTGCTGAAAAAATCTCCTCTCCATTAAACAGAAATTGGGGAAATAAAATTAAACAAGGGGGCAAATAATTCTGACTTACACTGTATGTATTTAATAAATGCAGGTGAAATGACTAAAGTAACCTTTGTAGTACTTTCAATATTTCTCACTTTTGTTTTGTTCAAGTACAAATTAAAACCTAATAAATACTATAGTTAAAATTAAACAAAATATTTTAAAAACAATATAAAAACTGCATAATAGTGCATCAGTGATGCTAAAATCACTACTATGACTGTTTAAAACAAAAATGTGCTCGTAAAATGCTTCATAATTTAACAATGTGAACAACTGGCCAAATACTAGTCATGACAGTGAAGCATAAATATTGCATATGCAGTTATTATTCATACAGAATGCAGAAGCACATAATAATTGCATTGAGAATATAGCATAAGGTCTGCGAGTGGGTTTCCTCCAGGTGCTCTACAGTTCAAATACATGCAGGTGAATTGAATAAGCTAAGGCTGTAGTGTGCGTATGCAGGAGTGAATGGGTGTTTCCCAGTGTTTGGTTGTGGCTGGAAGGGCATCTGCTGCGCAAAACATGTGCTGGATAAGTTGCCAGTTCTTTCCACTGTGGCGACCCCAGATTAATAAAGGGACTAAGCCGAAAATAAAATAAATGAACAAAGTCTATAAAAGTGGTTTTAATTAATATTATCCTTTAAATACCTAACAATGAATATTGTTTATATAATAATTGCATTGAAAATAGCGTAAGGTCTGTGAAGGGGGTTTATTATGGAAAAGTGTTTGTGGTACACGGAGTCCTCAAGATCATGTGGTGTTGACGTGCTTGTTTGATCACAAAACATCACATGGTTCGGTGAATGTGTGTCCATGGCAACAGAGAACAAAGCAAACAAGTGAACAGATCCCTGAAACTGCAATGGTGGTTCAGGAGGACGCCACATTTATCATTCCTTGCCTCTTATCTTATAGCAAAAATCTACTATTAAACAGTTAAAGTCAAAATTATTAGTTTTTTTTTAATTATTATTCAAATATTACCCAAATAATGTTTAACAGGGCGAGGAATGACTCACAGTATTTTCTATAATAATATTTCTCCTGGAGAAAGTCTTATTTGTTTTATTTTGGCTAGAATAGAAGCACTTCATGACCCTTTAAATACCATTTTAAGGTCAATATTAGCCCCCTTAAGCAACTTTTTTTTTTTTTTTTTTGATTGACTAGAACAAGCCACTGTTGCTTAACAGGGCTTCTACAGGTTTCATCAAGTCAAATTTAAGACTTTAAGACCTTTTTAAGACAACAATGAATGAGATTTCAGACTTAAAGGCTAAAAGATTGTTTTTTTAATAGCCAAGTTAAAACTTAAAAAAAAAAAAACCAATAAAATGGTTAGGAAGATAATGTTATTGTAAGGAAGATCGTTAAACTACAATTTTAAGTAAATAGAGTAAATAAATAAATGTTTCTTAAAACTTTAATTAAAATGTATTGTTAGTGTTTGGATAAGTGTTGGTCCAATTGGGTATAGCTTTACATGGACATAGGAAATTAAGACCCGTTTAAAATGTTTTAAGCCCTACAACACAATATTTCAGTGGATTTAAGACTTTAAGCCTATAATTTGTTTTTGTTTTTTTAATTTAAGACATTAAGTCCCTGCAGATATACTGTACAATGACTAGCCTATAATTAACTCAGTTAAGCTTTAAATGCAATTTTAAGCTGAATACTAGCATCCTGAAAAATATCTAGGCAAATATTATGTACTGTCATCATGGCAAAGATAAAAGGAATCAGTGATTAGAAATTAATAAGTGGTTCCCAAAGCTTTCACCAACGGCAGATTCAGTGACTTAAGGACTTTTTAAAATCACCATTAATTTTAAATTAAGCACCATGAAAGTCTTTACTGTACTTTAACATTTTACTTACAATAAAAATGTATCTTTTAACCATCGTTTAAAGGTCACATTCTGTAATATTCACATTTAGATTATTAAATATTGATAAAAACGTGCCTTGTTTAGCAATCTTATTGCACAAGATTTAAATTTAAGATTTGTAATTTAATATAATTTCTCTTTTAGTGCAGTAAAATTTTATTTCAAACCTAATTAAACCACTTTTAAGAACCTGTGTTTTTTTTTTTTTAAGTACTTTCAAGGCCTTGACTCCATATGTCTGAAATTCAAGTACTTTTATGTACTTTCAAGAAGTGTGGGAGCCCTGTATTATGTTTTGAAATTCATTGAAAATATCTTCTTTCCATGCAGAAATTGGGGGAAAAATATACAGGGCGACTAATGATTCAGGAAGGCTAATAATTTCGACTTCAACTGTATATACAAGTATTAAATTAATAAATCAATTTAAGGCCCTTAAAGTATTAAAAAGTCTTAAATGCTATTTTACAAGGTATTAAATGCAGTATCAGTATGCTAAAGTTTACCTGAATTTAATCTTTGAATATTGGGATGCTGTTTAGCTTATGAAGTAAAAAAAAAAAAATAATTCCTGCTTTGACATCATGCTGCTGGGTTTACTGCAGTAACCAGGAAAACACTGTTATTAGTGCTGTTGTGAAGGTTTATCCACCTGCTGGATTAACATTTTTATTCAGTATATAAATAGAGTATTAGCTTAAAATTTGTGTCTTGCAATCAGTTTTCATTTAGTGGTAACACTTTACAATGAGGTTCATTAGTAAATACATTTACTAACATGAAATAATCATGAACAACACATGTACAACATTTATAAATCATAATTGAACATTTACTAATGCATTATTAACATTCAAGTCCATGCTTGTTAACATTAGTTAATGCACCGTGAGTTTACATGAACTAACAATGAACAACTGTATTTTCATTAACTAATGTTAACTAATATGAACAAATAACGTAGTAAATGTATTTTTCATTGTTTGTTCATGTTAGTAAATGCATTAATTAACATTAACTAATGAACCTTATTGTAAAGTGCGAGTCATTTAGTAAATGTACTGCAAGTTAAAATGTCGGCAATGTTACTGGTCGAAACTTGTAGTAATGAGGTCCTAAAATGAATGGAAAGTCTTAAAAGGTATTTAATTTCAGTCTGATTCCTGTATTAGATGTAATGTCCATGGCAAAGATAAGAGATCATTTTTTAAAACTAGTATGCTTAGAAGTGTGTTACACTGAAATGGGGGGGGTACACTGGGGTCTAATAATTCTGACTTCAACTGTGTGTATTATAATCATGCAGACCAAAAAAAACAACAACAACCACTTCAGAATAGGGGCAATCAATCTAATTTTATTAACTTTTTTGAATCATTTTGTACAGCCTTGCCACTACTACAGTACCACCCGAAACACAGAAGTCATAAATACTTTCCCACTCATTACATTACAGACCTACAAATACACAAACTACAATAGAAGGAAAATTGACTCCACACCAACACCACTTAAATACAGACATACATTAGGATCGATGAGGAATTAGTGAGTTAATCAATAGCAAATATTAACATATATATTAATAGAAATGTGTTTGTATTTATAAAAATGACCGGAATGCAAAGAATAAATAGAAGAAAGAATTCATGTGCTTTACAAAACTTCCTAAAACTCTCCAACATCCACTCTTTTGTCCCGGCATTTGTTCCTCGCCTTGGTTCGAGCTTTAAACGCAGCTGCATTGTAGAGGTGCTGAAGAAAGAAAAGATATATTTATAACTTTATATTTTAAAGGAAGAACTCGGTGTAGAAATGAGCATGGAGAAGCTGCAGTTTGCTTACTCTCTCCAGTCTGGAGCTCTTCATGGCTTTGAGAGTGGCTGAATCGATCAACATTGGTGGTCCCAGTTCAAACACGTCTCTTATGAACTCGTTTGCCTGCGGACAGAAGAATAAACCTCATATTTCATTACCTTTTTTTTGGACGCATTTTAAAAATAAAACTTTTTATATGATTTAAAATCTAAAGTTTTACATCATGCATATTTTGACAATTTATTTTGACAAAAGTTATCTGAAACTTGGAATCACATGAAAATTTGTTTTAGTAATGTGAACCCAAGTAAAATGATGGAAGAAAACAAAAAAAGAAAAGATTTAGTAAGTTTTTTTTTTTTTTTTTTGAATTTGTTTAATGCTTAGGTAAAAAAATAATAATAATAAAATAAAAAAATAACTATTAAAATTACATATATTGCTGAAGAAAATACAACATTAAAACAACTTAAAAAAATAATTATCTATATTACTATTGTTAACTCAATTTTTTAAGATTGTTTAATGCAAAAGCAAAACAAACTATTTAAAGATTAAGTTTAATTTAATAATTAATTATTTTATTATTAACGACATATAATGAAAAGAGTTGAAGGCAACAAATAACTTGTATTAAATAACATTATCAATCAATTAATCAATGTATTGATTAATCAATCAAAAAATACTTTATTATTAAAATTTTGGATTCATTTTCATCTAATCTGAGAGTTTTACCTGTAGATGGTAGTTCATCCCAGAGCCGACGAACTCTCTGAAGGCGTCATAAGTTCTCTTTCTGACCCAGCTGTCGATGAGCATTCGCTCTGTGCCAAATCGGATTGTTTCACTTTGGAAATCTCCATCCTGGTCCGAGTAGAGTAGAGTAGAGTAGAGTAGAGTAGAGTAGAGTAGAGTAGAGTAGAGTAGAGGTCAGAATCTTAACTACAGCACACCTGAGTCTGTCAACTTTCGGTCTACTTTCAGTCTCACCTCTACAGCCTTCAGGACGTCTCTGAAAACAGATCTCTGCTTCCTCTTATCCGTTTTGGCTCGGTGTTTGTTGCAGTCTGTGGCTAAAGCATTCAGCTTCTCACACAGCGGCTCCCACTCATCCAAATCAAACTCCTGTCAAATTACAGGTTATGGTAGATTAGGAACAAAGAAATAATAATAATAAAATAAATAAAACCACAATAAAATATATAACAAGATTTATTCAAACTAATAAAGCGTATCAATCATGCATTTTGTGGAATAATTTGATAAACAACATGAATTCACTGAAATATTTAAGAAATGCATTCACGTTTAAAATAACATTTGTTAATTGTTTAATTACTATAATTCATATTTAATGCATTTGAAATCAATTAATACAAGTAAAATTAACTGCTAGCTATATAGTAAGATTTAGGAAAATGTTATTTAAATCGTGCTACTATCATGTTATTACAATAACATTTTAAAAAATGACATTTTATTTTAATACATGTTAGATGAATAATAGTAATAGCATTAGATTGTAATATTTAAAAGAAACCAAGTTTAATCATTTAAACAAAAAGTTAGTAATAAGTTACATATTTTACAAATGCAAATTTCAGCAACCGTAAAATACAACAATTAAACTATTTTACTAACTATTAATGTATTATGTATTAATATACAACAATTGTATTAAAATAATTACTTGCATTTTTAGGTTTATGATTTAAAATGTACTTGGTTTACCTCTCATTATTAATACTTTACTGAACAGAATGAATAAACATTTAAATATGTCGTACAAATTGAGGAAAATGTATTTATTAATTAATTGCACAACTTACAGGCTCAACATCTCTAATGAGTTCAAACAGGAGGGCGATGGTCTCTCCAGCAGCAATCCTCATGTTGACATCGTCATTCTCCAGCAGACGTGGAAGTTTAGCCAGATGTCTATAAAAAATAATATACAAAATTAAATAAAACAATCAAATATCAGTTTGAAACTGCATTCATAGTCTTCAAATGTTCACTTTCTAATAAAATATGCCTTATGAAGAGGGAAGATAAACTGAGATTACATGCTAATGTTCAATCATTCTTCAATAAATGCATGCTCGTGGTGTTCTTTCACAGTTTATTAGGTGTACAGTTTTCCCATTGCACTGAATATAGTGTTTTCCAGCACTTACTTCTGCGCGATGGCTCTGATGTGGCTGCCGGTGCAGATGGTGAGAAGCAGAGCCCACGATAAGAGCGCGTTGGTGTGGAGCTGCGTGACTGGAGGACTCACTGAAGGTCTGCTTCCGTCTTCCCGGATGTACGAGCGGGTGAACAGGCTCTCAAAGCACTCCATGGTGGCGTACACATCCTGGAGGAGACAAAAACATCAGGTCAGAAACCACTTCATGCATCACAGTGCTTAAAGAAAGCAGTTTTGAGTTGAACTCCGAATCACTTTGAGCTCTTAAAGGGATAGTTCACCCAAAAATGAAAGCGGTCACAATGACTGGTTGTCAGAGGCTCTTAATATGCATCTCAATGTGACTCCAATGATCTTAAGGGTTTTTATAAAAATGGTTGCTCACTTTGATTTTTAAAGTTGTACCTAATTTATTTTACAAGTCAAACAGACAGACTTAAAACATCAAGTAAAAATGTGTTAACTTAAAATAATGTTGAAGTCTAATATAAATAAGTTAGCAAGGGTGCCCAAACTCGGTCCTGGAGTGCCGTTGTCCTGCAAAGTTTGGCTCCAACCCCAATCAGACACACCTGTGCTACCTAATCATGCTCCTACTAGGCTTTCTAGACCTCCAGGACCGAGTTTGGACACCCCTGAATTAAAGGTTAAACAAAAGCTTTCGTCATGACATTTTTAAATCCATATTTCATTTAATAGTGCATTATATGGACTTCTTTATTCTTTTAGCATTTAGAAATGTTATTAACTTCATATGTACACATCTATAGTGTAAATAGTCTAGAAGACTTCTATTGCATTCCATCACTTACCATGATATCATCTTCTGCTACAAGAGTGCAGAGGCCTAGACTTGTCGCGCACTGAAACACAAAGTGTAGATCAGCAGATTGTTAGTCTCTCATTTTGCAGGATTTCAAAGTTTTATTTAAAAGTGCCCCTTTATGCTTTTCAGATGTTATTCGTCTCTTATTTGGTGTGGTTTATAGGTATGCTTGAACCGTTTCAGAAAACTGTGAACACTTTTACAGTGTTTGATATACCTATAATGTTGTTTTCTTGCGTAGTTATAATATGGCCACGGTATAAATACATGGTGCAGTTACGAGCCACATTATATAATTATGATAACATGATTAGGGGTGGGATGATACAGGTAACTCCCGATTCAATTCTGTGGCGATATGCAGCCCATGATAATGATAATATCACGATTTGCGAAATCTATCGCGAAATTTCCTCAACGATATAACACGATATACCTGACTGACAAAGAACAAAATAACCATAATAAGGAAATCTTATGCATTTATTAATGCCAACACTGTGCAAAGAAATATGCATTTGCATAATAACTCACTGCCTGCTGGTCTTAATGGTAAACGCTGTACAGCTATACAGGTAAAAGTGCATGAACATAAAAAAAAAACAACAACATGAAAATTAATTAACGCGTGTAAACCGTGAAACATCGATAGTAATTTACTGTGAAGTGCTTTATACTCTGTGCCTTTAAACACAGTAGTGATTGTCGGCTGACTTGGTTTGCCAACATTATCTCCTAACAGTAGTTCACTGTGATGTCAAATAAGGTGTATTTGTAGTATTATGGTTATATTTAATCTTTGCAAAACAGCTTTTGCAGATTGCATAGTTTTTCTCCAGTGCCTTTCCATCGACTGTCCCGTAAAACCCGAAGTGTCTCCCCACTTTATTAATTGTTTTTCGCCATTTTTCACCCTTTTTATTCCCCCAGCGCTCCTTTTTTTTGTTGTTTGTAACTTGTGTTCTACACTGGCTGCTGCTTGCGCCCATTTACTCAAACAGCGCCCACCGCAAACAGAATGGTGGATATTGAGGAGTGACAGTGACACTGACGTCGGGTAAACTAATAATTTTGTGCAATAAAACATTGATTATTTATTGCGACAAAGCAAAACAATATATTGCAATAGATTTTTACATAGCCTTCAGTGATTTCCTGAAGATGAATACCAAAAATAATAATGCAACTGCAATAACTACAGCAGGTCTCATACGAAGTATAAACTTGTGACTACATATGATGACGTGTGTAGGTGTTGTCCCATTTCTTAGGGGTAAAACTGAAGCCCTTCCCTTTCACACTTAATTTCAAGAGCCGAGGTGAAGGGGTTTAAAAAAAATATATATATAATAATACTTTAATTGGTATTGGGCTTAAAAAGGCGATCAGCAAAATTAGGAAGGTTTAAAAATGCATAATAGGGGCACATTCACATCTTGTAAGGATGTAGCTTACAGCTTGTCTGGCTTGAATGTTAGCCGTTCCATCATTGAGGATGGTCTTGAATACAGGTTTAAGGCTCTTAAAAACTTCTTCGCTCTCAATCCCCGAACCCAGCTGAATGCACAGGAGACACGCCAGCGAGGCTGCGGCACTCTGCTCCACTCCTTTACCTGGTTTGCAAATGCAAACAGCCAAACTCAACCAACTTTCAGCACCGATAGCATTGCAACAAACTGGTTTACATTAAATTCAATCCTTCATTACTCAACTATTCAGCATTCTCAAACAAAACTGACCTTTCTTCAAGCAGCGTTCAATGCCGTCCGTGATGGTCATCCTTCTCTCGGAAATGAAGTCGTAGAGGATTTTGGTTGCCATGGCAGTCTTTAGTCCATCAAGGGCACCTTGTCTGGTCTTGGCACTGGAATGGGAGCATAATTAGTTCAAGACTGTGGCAGAAATGGATTATTCAGAACAATCGATTTCAGAAACATACTCAAGCACAAACCTTTTATCCACCGTGCTGTCGATGTACACCTTCAGCTTGTACTGGAAGTCCTCTTCAGCCATCTCTTCAGTTTCACCAGCTGTCAAATACAGATGGAGAAATCAGACATGTAGAATTTATCTTAGAAAATATAGAGCTGCTCAATACATCGTTTCAGCATCAATATCACCATGTGCTCATCCAATAATTACAATGCAGAATCTAAAATGTTGAACAGGGATTAAACTCGTATAGCTTTCAAAACACTCTTGATTTAAGTCATTGTAAAAATCAACCATAAATGTTACCAAAACGTAACTTTGAGTGTGACTGGGTGAGCATTTAAGGTGACTTTAAAGCATTCAGGAATAAGACATATTTGTAACTTTAATAAATGTGAAGTATGCGGTGCGGTTTTATATTTTGTATTTATTAATGCTTGTGACTGGTTTATTATATTTAATCCAAACTCAATAACTGCATCCAATAGAATCATCCGAATGCATCTAAAATGATTAAATCTTTCTACATAAATAATTAAATCTGGTAAAATTATACTCCATAACACGCAGTCTTGGTTGATAGTGGAAAAGGAGTTCAAAGCATTCAGACAGATATAATTTTATTGAATCCTAATTGAGATGGATTTCAAATATTATTAAATTATTTATACAGTGAAGACAATATAGTGATATTTTATGATGCATTATTCAATTTCAGTAGTGTTTGACTCCCCTGAAAACCATAAATCAATGTTTTTTTCCACTTTTATCCATGTTAGTAATTTGTTTTATTACATTATTATTGATACACTGCCCTGCAAAATCCCCCCAATCAATCTAAATTAATGAATTCTTTTCAAATATAGCTATTATATATTTATAATAATAATAATAATAATAATAATAATGTAGAATAAACAAAATAAAGCAATTAATAAATAAATAAAATGATAAATAAATAAATAAATAGATAGAAAAATAAATAGAAAAAAATTAATATATAAATTTAAATAAAAACATTTTCTACTCAAAATCAACACATAAGTAAACAAATAAAATGCCGTAATATCAGGTTTTTTTCTAATATCATGCAGCAGTAATATACCCACCTTCCTCTGCAGCACTGGTTCTTTCACTGAGGCTGCTGCAGTGACTGAGCGTCTCGATTGATGCGTCTTCATCACTGAACGGTTGGACATTTCCCTGTTGTCCACCTGCAAAAACAAAAAGCAGTTTCACACTTCGATAACAACTTTCTTGCCAAGCTGCAGTACAAGACTGGAACAGATTCAGATCAATGCTGAAAATGAGCCAGTTAGGCGTGCTGCAATAATACTATTGACTTATGTGATATTTGGATATGACCTCAATCATTTTTGGTAATGCGATCCATTTGCAAAAGTGACTGTCGCCAACATTTTAGCAGATTACGCTGCTTTTGTCATCTCTTTTGCTGTCACTGGTGAAGACTACAGTCAGACATAACCTTGACAATAGAGACTGCATTACTCAATGCATTAGAGTTTTCCTACTGTAAGTTTGGTACAGTTAGTCCACATCACTATAGCCAAAAGCTTAACCAAATGATGAAACCTGCTAGAAAACAAGTAAAATATCATGAAAGCCATTATAAAAGCTCATTTGCCATTCTTTCCCTTATAACTTTAGGTTTCAGAATTGTAAAATAAGTGTTATGAAAAGCAAAATCAGTTTGTTATATATTTTTTGTGTATTTGTTCTCTAACGTGGATATGCTGTTAAATTAGTATACGTTTAAATGCAATATAGACGAACCACCAGTATCCAAAGAAGAAATAAGAGTAAGCTAAATCCCTTTTTAAGAGGGTAGAAATATGTTTTTATATACACAACCATAGAGATATGCAGAGGTAAAATATTGTATTAATGTTCAAAAGAGCAGTTTATACAAGCAGCCTTTTAATGGAGTATTGTAGAAACTACAGTATGACAGCTGGAAGATTGTATTTTTATCAACAATAACCATTTTACTGGATTAAAGAGGAACTAGAAACATTAAAAATGGCAAAACTACAGAATATATTGTATATTTTTATTCCGACACTGACTTAAATGGATTAATTTCAGTCTCTTATATTTTAATATACAAATATTCCAGGTTTCTGTGTCTATTATGAAATATTAAAATACTTTAATGTGCAGAATATTTTAATTTAATATACAGTCTCTAACTACTTATCAATGTTGGATACAGTTGTTATACTTAAATTATTAAACAATCTTTCAAAAGAACAGTATTTACTTTTAATATAGAAATATTTGTAACATTATTATTGTTCTTGTTGTCTTTACGGTTATTTAAAACAATTTAAAAGCATCCAACTAAATTAATGCCTTAATAAAATGTAAATATCACTAAAATTTATGCAAAAGTAGCATACACGCTAAAAAATGCAGGGTTCCACACAATTAATTCATGCTGTCCCAACACAAATCGATTAAATTAACATTAACAAATTATGTGGATTGAACATAAAATAAATTTTCCCAATGAAATCTCAAGAATTGTTGTTTGAGCTCATTTTAAATGAGTTTGAACAAGCAAAAATAAATAAATAAAATAATATTTATTTATATATTTATTTATATAAATAATATATTTATTTATATATAATAATATACATTTATTTATATATTTATAGTGTACTTTGAATGAACTTCAATATAATAAACAAATGATCTCATTTTATGAGTATACTTTAGACGGTGACAAACCTCATTATGACACTTACAGTGAAGCATGTCTGACAATTAATATCAGCCAGTCATTTTTGACATGTCACTTTGACCCTAATGAACTGTTGAGTCCTTTAATGAGTGTGTGTGTCAGCCACGTGTTACCACCCGGCAAAAGCCAGTCATCTGCAGAAAGTACAAAGTGTCCCCAACTCTGTTTGGCAAGGTCAGAGAATGCAATGACTGCTATTTTCGAGATTATACAAACAAAACAGCTGCTGTGTGAAGATTCCCAGACTAAAGCAAATACTGGGTATTGAAAAGCACAGCAGAGATACAGATAACATGTGGGATGGTGTGAAGGACTACAGCAGGGTGCCAGAACAAAGTCTCTTCTCAAAAACCTTCTCAAATCCAGTGAGCAGATGGACTGAGAACAGTCAATATCAAGGTACAAACTTATTTATATTGAAATATTTGGGCTTTATGCCCCTGCTTCTTTCTTCCTGTCCTCTAGCTGATCTTAAAAGAGGCCTGTTATATAAGCAGGCTAGTGGCCTCAAATAACCTCAAACACACACTGACTTACATTAAACAATATAAAGATCACACGTATTATAATACTATATTATATATAGTAATATATTATATACATGTTATATTTTAAGTAGTTAGTTAATTTCACAAAAGATCAAATACTTTATCATACAATAATTTATTGATCTTAAAGCTAACGTTTACATTACAAGATAAATAGCTTTGTTTTATTATTATTCACATTGTATAGTATGACATATATTAATTAATTACAATCTGTAACTTTCGTCGTTTAAATAACGTCATTAGTAGGACAATCGCTAATATTTAAAAATAAGCATTCCTTTAAAAACAAACACCAAAATGTGATGCCCAAATGTGCATTTACACATGTCAAAGACTCGTACAGTGAATTATTCTTTTGTTTGTGTCAAAGAAAGACACTCCTGGCTGTCAAACAAACGGGTAGCCTTGTCATGGGACTTGTAGTTCCCTTCCTTCCATTTCATCGCGCGAGCGCCGTGTTAAAGAACTACAAATCCCAGAATCCCTTCCGCGAAGCAGGCCACGAAAAACAACCGGTCATTTCCAGACATTCCATCCTACCTACCTTTGCCGCTCCTTTTCTTGGCCCGTGGCATCTTGCTTAAATGAGTAGATCCGCACCTAAAATCAACCAATACACGACCAGTTTTTACTATAATGTCTTTTCGTTTGAGTATATTCCAGTGGCACAGTGAAAAGGAAAGTATTAAAAGCGATTCCGGTGTTAGACTTGGAGCGCGAGCGATACATTTTCCCTCACAAACTAGGGCTGTGTCTGCGCGCTACCGCGAAGCGCTTTTATACGACCGCTGATGACGCGCTAAAAAAGGCGTTGCTTCACGTGGACCTGGAAACAGTAGGGCCAATCACAACACGGGATGCGTCGACGTCATCACATAAGACACACTTCCGCCGGCTTTGTAATAGATTTTGCTGTCACGTCCTCCTGCGGCTGCTATGTGTACACGTTGCTCTGTAAAGGATTAATGTTTTTAATGTAGTATTGTGTGTCAACTGTGCCTACTTTTATATACAGTTGCAGTCAAAATGAGTCATCATAAGTCAAAATGTGTTTGCCTTAAAGTATCATTACTTTGTTTCAGGTATATGTATAGCTAGATAAGGTACAGTACTTTATTGTATTGCCACAGTAGCCTAATAAATGAAAGATCCTCTGAAATGAAATAAAGAATATAAACATTTTTTTCATTTGGGGGTTAAATAAATTGAGAGTTAAATAAAAAAAATGCAAAGTTTGATTACAGGTTTTCATCATTCTTCAAAATATCTTCTTTTGTTTTTAAAGGAAGAAACTCATAGAGGTTTGACCCATTTTCTGGTGATTAAATGATGCCAGAAATTATTGCAATTCTAATTGCAGAAGTTATTGTGAAGATAAATGAAAACCTGAAGCCACTGACTTCCACAGTATTTGTTTTTTCTGCTATAGAAGTCAATGGTTACACGTTTTCATCATTCTTTAAAATATCTTCTTTTGTTTTTAAAAGAAGTAAGAAACTCATAAAGGTCTGAAACCATTTTCTGGTGACTAAATGATGACAGAAATTATTACAATTCTGAATACAGAGTTATTGTGAAGAGAGCTGAAAACCTGTAGCCATTGACTTCTATAATGTTTGTTTTTACTGCTATGGAAGTCAATCGTTACACGTTTTCAGCATTCTTCAAAATATTTTTGTTCATCAGTGGTAACTCATAAGGGTTTGAAACCATTTGATGGTGACTAAATGATGACAGAAAAATAAATGAAATCATGTTGCCATTGACTTCCTTTATACTTGTTTTTAATACTATGGAAGTCAATGGTTACACATTTACAGCATTCTTTAAAGTATCTTCTTTTGTTTTTAAAAGGAAGAAACTCAAAGCTTTGAAACCATTTGCTGGTGACTAAATGATGACAGAAATTATTACAATTCTGATTGTAAAAGTTATTGTGAAGATAGATGAAAACCTGTAGCCATTGACTTCCACAGTATTTTTTTTTCTACTATGGAAGTCAATGGTTACAGGTTTACAGCATTCTTCAAAATGTCTTATTTTGTGTTCAACAGAAGAAAGAAACCCATAAAGGTTTGAAAGCATTTACTAGTGACTAAATGATGACAGAAAGATAGATGAAAACCTGTAGCCATTGACTTTTATAGTATTTGTTTTTTACAATGGAAGTCAATGGTTACACAATTTCAGCATTCTTCAAAATACCTTCTTTTGTGTTTAAGGAAAGAAAGACGCTCCTAAAGGTTTTAAATCACTTAATGGGGAGTAGATGATGAAAGAAATGTCAGTTTTGGGTGAACTATCCCTTTAAACATGCAAAACTATAGTGCCACATAGCCTGGTCCGATAAAACCATGAGCAAAATGAATACTACACTGTAGAAAAATTACAAGGTTGTCTAACATTAAGTTCAATCATATTAGCTGGGTCAGTTGGCATTTCTCTGTGGAGTTTGCATGTTCTCCCCGTGTTGGTGTGGGTTTCCTCCGGATGCTCCGTTTTCCCCCACAAGTCCAAAGACATGCGCTATAGGTGAATTGGGTTAGCTAAATTGTCCGTAGTGTATGAGTGTGTATGGATGTTTCCCAGTAATGGGTTGCAGCTGGAAGGGCATCCGCTGTGTAAAACATGTGCTGGATAAGTTGGTGGTTCATTCCACTGTGGCAACCCCTAATTAATAAAGGGACTAAACCGAAAAGAAAATGAATAAACAATAGTGCAAGAGTTTTAGATACAGGTTTGCAATGGCCATCTTGTTTAGTGCTGTTTCTATCTGCAAAATTAATTATTGGTATTCATAATTTTAAGAGCTACATGCATATTAGGAGTTATTATTAATAATGTTCCTTATTTTTTTAATCAATAACTCTGTTAATGCAATATATTTACATGTGCTTGTTCAAGCAAACCCGCACACCTTGATGCAGATTGATTCAATCTGCCTTGAAGGGGCTGTTCACACAAAAAGTGAAAAATGTGCAAATCCAAAAATAATTTACTCATCCTTGACTTGTTACAAATAAGTTTGGGCTATTTTAAGCATTTAGAGAAGAAGTTAAGAGGTTAAGATTAAATAATAGCAAAAACATTTTGCATCAGAGTTGTTTTACCTAACCCTGCTGAGTTAACAAGGGCATACAGATATAAAAAATGTGTAGCACACAGTGTTTTAGCCAGGCAGCTGGTCAAAGTGTCAGCATTGCCACGAGTCCAGCTGCTGCACTGATAACCATGTGCAACAACCAGCACAATACTGCGCTTATAAGAAGCATCGCACATGGTTAGAGGAGGATTTACTATTGACATTCAATATTGTGATCAATGACGCCTGACAATGTTTTCTGTTTATCATTACTCATTTAGCATATATCAGTAAACCTTTACTTTAAGTTATACATATTTTTGTGTAAATATGATTAGATTAATCGCCTCACAGCAGGAAGGTTACTGGATCGACCCCAGGCTGGGTCAGTTGGCATTTCTGTGTAGTTCTCCCCATGTTGGTGTGGGTTTCTTCCAAGTGCTTTGTTTCCCCCCACAGTCCAAAGACATGCAGGTGAATTGAATAAGCTAAATTGGCCGTAGTGTATGCGTGCAAATGCAAGAGTGTATGGGTGTTTGCCAGTGCTACGTTGCAGGTGGGAGGGCATCAGCTGCGTAAAACATATAAGTTGGCGGTTCATTCCGCTGTGGCGACCCCTGATTAATAAAGGGACTATGTCAAAAAAAAATGAATGAATCAATGATTAGGTTAGTAAGTAGCAAAGTCAAAACTGGAATTAATAAGAAAATAGCTTAAGATTGTGCTGCTAAAATTAGTACACCCAAATTAATATGCTAGGGAACATATATTTAGAAAAATAATTAATATAAATGAATTAGATTTTAGAATTAATTTTTGGGTAAACTATTTCTAGTACATATTTTATTGTGACAGGTTGACAACAGAATCCTATGAGGACACAGATAAACACACCACTAGAGGGAGCTCGGTCAGATTATAAAGCTGCACTTCTGAGTGATCTGAAGTGTTGCATAATGTATAAAGAGACTCTTTTGATGATTCAAGATCAGTCAAATCAAATTTAGATTGAGGAGGTTTTTTTATCTAACGCCATTGCATTTTCTGTCTCTGTGGTGTTTCCTAAATTCAGTATAGTTTTGGTAAAATAAAGCATAAACAATAAAAGCATACTCATCATAATGGGTTTTTTGTTAGATAATGTCATCAGGCTGTTTTTCTGTCTGACCTGTGGATTATTGTAGTTTTAAATGGCATAAACAAATGCTCTTTTTCTTTTTTTGCTTTGGCTGACCTTTAGAAATACTCAGAATTAGATTTGCACTCTGCACCAGGTTTATATGTTATGCCATAACTAACTAACTAAATAAACAAATCCAACAATATTGACATATTAGAGTTAAATGCATTTAGAGGGGATTCCAGGAATCAAAAAAATTATATTAAATTATTATTATTATTTTTTTTGTAGAATTAAATATTCTGTAATCAGGCAGATTTTGTGTAAACAAATCTTTCTAAAAACCTTTTAGTATATATTTATTTTTTTAATTACAGTTGAGGTCAGAATTATTGGTCCCCGGAATTATTACCCTCCCTGTTTATTTTTTTTTCTCTGATTTCTGTTTAACGTAGAGAAGATTTTTTCCAACACATTTTTAATCATAATAGTTTTAATAACTCATTTCTAATAACTGATTTATTTTCTCTTTGCCATGATGACAGTAAATAATATTTGACTAGATATTTTACAAGACACTTCTATACAGCTTAAAGTGACATTTAAAGACTTAACTAGGCTTAACCTAAATATCAGACATGCTGTGAAAATTTCTTTGCTCTGTTCAACATCATTTGGCAAATATTTAAAAAAGAAATAATGGTAGTTCTGACTTTACCTCTATATTTATTTATTTATTTATTTATTTATTTATTTATTTATTTATTTATTTATTTATTTATTTATTTATGTATGTATTCATTTAATTATGCATGAATGTATTTATTTATTTATGTATTGGTTTATTTATGTATTTATTTATTTATTTATGTATTTATTTGTTTTATTTTTTGTATTTGTACTTATGTATGTATTTATTTATTCATGCATGTATAGATTTATTTATTTGAGTATTTATGTACTGTATTTTATTTATTTATTTATATACATTTATTTATTTATTTATTTATTTATTTATTTATTTATTTATGTAGTTTATTTGTTTGTTTGTTAATTTATTTATTAATGTATATGTTTGTTTGTTAGTTTTATTTATTTATTTATTTATTTATTTATTTATTTATTTATTTATTCATTCATTCATAATTTAAAATTCATAATTATTTATAAATAATTAATAATTAGGAGTATTTTATTTTATTGCTATTTTTTGCAAAAATCTTGTGAGTGTGTGTGTTTGTGTGTGTTTTTTCAGCTTCACACACAAAGCAGCAGCAATGGCATCAAAATTTAGCTAACTTTAATTGATTAAAAATGCACATTAATTGTTAACATGTTAAATTATAACGAAACTATAATAGCCTAAAATCCTTCACAACCCCATTACAAATTCTCAATGACTGAATACCCTAGCGTACCATTAAACATTTAACAAGCTTTTATCTTCATTTTCACATTTTGGATTGCAGTGATGTGAATGTAGCTTTATAATCAAGCATTTTCAGCATCTCTGTTCACCTGATTGAGT